AACCAACAAACTTGATATGGAAGTAAAGAACGAGAGACGGAAAAAAAATTTCTCTACTTCCACCTCACCCCGAAAGAAACACTCCCCCTTACTCCAAATATAAAAATCTAGAAATACAAATTGCGTTTATAGGGTATGAAGTCTATAACAATACCAGTGGTAATAGGAGCACTCGGTCTGATCACGAAAGGGATGGAAAAAAATAGTTCCTGTTATATGATAAAAAAAAGTCCATAAGATCTCCTCGGCACCGCTGACCTATTAGGGCTCTGTCCCTCAAATAAACGAACCCCCATCGCATTCCAGTAGGTAGAACCGGAACCCTAAATTCAAGACATGGACTCGGCTCTATGCGTGAGTAAAACAGGACATTTTCATTAAGGAAAGAAGAAGAAGAAGATCATCATCATCAAGAAGAAGAAGAAAATCGCAGCCAACCCCTCACTAACTGAAAGAGAAAAGATTGACCACTGAACACATACTGAGAAGAATTCTCTCAATGTAGTAAGACTAAATAACTTTTGAAAAAAAACCTTCAGGTTTCGTGGTCAAGGATTAGATGAAACACAAGTCGATAATTAAGTATCGCCATCATCATACAGGGAAATAGGAGATGATGATGATGATGACGCAATAATCCCAACACCCACCCCCGTCCTCAACGCCCCAGTCTAATTGTCCTGGTTTCTTAGTTCAAAAAAGTGTTCACATGGACATATTTTGTCTTAGTGAATTAAAATGAATTAAAATAGACAACACGGTCAGTACTCCCAGATTTACCTGTCAGCTGACCGACTTTATCCAATTGAGCCTCAATCCCCGAGGGGTGGTGGTGATACGTTCGGGTCTCTCGAGCGGAACTAATGGGAGAATGGCCGGTGTGGAGAGATTTTGAAAGATGAGACGGCCAAGACGCTTTGAGAGTCACATCTAGATACTGGGGGTGGGACATTCTCAATAGGGGATGGGACTGTCTGAGTGGATTGGGTTACTCGATTTGAAGAGCTTTCGAATTGGGGACCCACCTGCAATGTCAGGCAATGCTTTTTTTTTATCAAAACTTGTCACCCTATCGCGCTCTATTGGCTGTTATGCATGTACCTGATATACCCTTATGATTTGTATCCTAGCGTCGATTTGTTGCCACGTTACTCTCTCACACAACAACAACAATAACAATGTCATCATCCCGCCTTTCGTTTTTTTGTTTTTTGTTGTCTTCACTGCCATCTGCGTGACCATACAAGGGAGGTAACTTTCAGCCATTATCCTAAAAATTGCTTTTTATAAAAACTTTTAAATCGTACAATCAGTTAGATTCTTTATAAATCCGCGTAATTAGGTCGGTTACTTCCTGACCACTGACAATACCTTTCTCTATTGTCAGACTGAATGCCGACAAACTACAAAATTTCTTTCTCCTACTGATACAATGACTGAAAGTATTTGTATCGATCTTCGACCAGAATCCTTCAAGCACCGAACTTACAAGACGAACAAGAATTTTACTTGGATTCACAAATGACATTTATATTTTGTCACTTTGTGTATTTCTTGTCGTAAGTTGTTAATAATTTGGTTAATCAACCCTGCATAAATAAGCACGATTCTTTTCTTTTTCTTTTAAAATGTGACCTTTTGCCACACATGTAAAATGTTAAAAATTCCAAAGGGCATTTGAATAAAATAAATCATTTTGAATTAATCGATATTACATTAATTAGTTTTAGAAATTCCAAATTTTATCGCTGAATATTTCGTTTATTGAAAATAAGTGAACATACAATAAGGGAGAGAACTGATGAAAGCGTGTTTTGTCAAGCTAAAAAAATTGAGTTATCTCCCCTGAGCTGTTCATTTTAATTTCATTTTTTGTTTTCATGTTTTGGTTTAAATTATTATTTTTAACAATTTTTCCCTTTTTCGGAAAGAATACCTTTTTAAATTAAACTTTTCATATCTTTATTGATTACTCATTAGGCAAAATCTTTTTATCAATTTATGATTAGTTATAAAACAGATAGAAAATAATATAAAAGACACTTTCACTCGAAACTTGAATGTGCTGAATCAACACTGTTGATCAACAAAAAAAGCCTTTTCAAATTATTTACGTGCATAAGAAGATTAATTTGAAATTGAAGGATGTGAACTCAAACATCAGATTTCATAGATAGAATGTCATTACTGTTTAATAATTTCGACTGTGTTCAAACTTCAAAAATGATATTCTGAAAGTTGAAAAACAAAAGATTCACACTGAACAGCCTCAAAACCACTTTTTTTCTCATTAGGAATATTTCTAATCAAGAGTAAGAAGCTGAAGAAGTCTTCACTTAATTCATCAAATCTTTAAATCAAAGATTCTTTCGGAAAATGCATTTAAATTTAATGGCCAAGGAGAATAATTAAATTTAGATTGTATAAGATTTTAATTGATTTTCTTAAACAAATCGGCAATTTCATATTGAACAAACTGAAAATAATTGTCTCCTTTAAGAAATTTTCTCTGCTTTTGCGGCATTTTGTTTCAGAATCAATAAATGAAAATAAAACTGGATTCGAGTTACTTATCTTTCTGCGAATAAAAAAATAGAATTTCTTTGCATAATTTTTTGGCTCCAACATTTAAAAACGTAAGAACTAAGGAAATATTTGCTAAACATAAACTCAACAAGCTATTTCGGAAGAAGATGAAACGAACTGATTTCCCAGAGAAGACAATTCAAGACATCAACTTAAAAAGAAATAATAATAATAATAAATATTTAATATTCCAATATTTTAGTATTTTCGAGTTCTAAAACTTAAATTTTCCTGTAATTGTTCTAAAATGTATCTTTTTTTCAATTTTTTCTAACGTTTCTTTTTGTTTTGTTTTTTGTTTGAAAACAATTTTTATATAAATTATGGCAAGATGAATTTCTCACCTTAAATGATTACAAGTAGACCTTTCTTATTATTGTGTAGCGGAGTCGAGCTTCCAGTCTCTTATTGAGGATCTTGTGCCAGACTACGCTAAGTCAAAATTTACATCTCCATCGGTAGCGAAAAACTGAAAATAAAGGGAAATAATTATTTTTCCTTTTTTATCCAAATGGTAAATAAATGAATGGCTTTACCGCAAATTTATGAACTTATTTTATCAATAGAAAAATAAGATCTATGAAATCAGGAATTGATTGTCTGATAGAAATCTCCGTCCTGTCTGCTAAGAAAATAAGATTCTTATTTTTTTCTTTGTCGAAATTGAATCTTGTTTTGAAAATCCGTTCAGCACTTCGAAATTACAATAAAAATAAATAAAATGAATTAAAAAAAGCAACGATAGCCTGTTTAAAAGAGAGCTTAAGATTTTACAAGCACGAGAGTTTTTTTCAAACCTTGTCTCAATGAATTGATTTTGTGGTCATAGAGTAAAAACATAAAATGAAAAAGTTTCATGAAAAAAAATAATCGGATAGTTCATCAAACAAAATTCAAAAAGCTTAACAGTACCACTAGCAATAACATAACGAGACACGTGTTCTTGTCCGTTACACGTTCATTAACAATTAAAACAAAAACATGCTTGTAAAAACTTCATTTCATAGATATTTCTGAGTCTACAAGTAATTTATCTCGCAGTATTTATTGATCTCTCTCACTCAAGTCAAACAAAACACTGTAGTTTGATTTTTGTGTAAAGAAGAAAAAGAAAAACAAAGAACACACGATATGAAATGTGTCAAAAAAGTTCAATTTCATTGACTAATTGTTTGAATAACAGATTTACAGAAATAATCTATTCTTCGTAGTATGAACAATCATGATGAATTAGTTTCATCAAATGAAGCATTGTCAACCATTATTATTAATTTTGCTTATTATTTCTTTCATCTTGTTCTTAATTTTTGTTACTTTTTCATCGTAACTATTCACACCGTTAGTCTGTGACTAACGCAGATCAAAGAATTACTCTATAAATTGGCGAAATGCCAGAACCAGGTGAACGGAGAACTACACTAGTAGGATGCGAGTTTGAGTTCAGCATAAAGCTTGTTCTTTATTTCCTATCTGCGCTTTATTGATGATGAGAAAGTTGATGAAAAAAAGCAATTAAAATAAAAGAAATTCTAGTCAAAACTTTATACATCCTTAACAAAAGCAACCCAAATATACGAGTTATTATAGCTTCAATTCTATTGGTTGGTCTATTTTCTGCTAGCCCCGCCCACTGTATATAAATAGTGCTTGCGCGTGCGATGATACTGATTCATGAGTATTGCCTGATACGAGCAACATGGATAGCGACTATCTTCATGACCTCTTTCTACCATATGAATGTCCTCAGTTTTTTGCTGAAGACAAGAATGAGAAAGAAAGAAATCCTCTCATGGAACTTTTCCCAGATACGTTGGCCATGAGCCTTAACACTCTTGACCATTACTCGGATCCCCAACTGCAGCTGTTCGGGGACCTAGTAATCGAACCTGATTTGGGCTCGGCGTTGTCGGAGATCCAAATCGAATATCACGTTCCGGCCACCCCTAAACAAGAACCAAAGAAAAGAGGTCGGCCACGAAAAAACGAAGTCAGTCCAGCTGAACCCAGTCGAAAATGTTGTAAGTATTTTTAGTCTTATTTTTTTTAGTTTTAGTTTTTTTTCCCCCCAAGTCGTAAGGAAATCAGTTGATTTATTTTGTACTGTCTATTATTTAAATTAAATACAATAAACTGGGAAATTAGTTACCGTTTTTCAGGGGTTTATCGTCATTCTAGCTAGAAATATGATAACCGTTCCACGCCTATTTTCTTAATTTTACTTAACTTATTTATTTATTTATTTATAGCGCCTTCAATTGAGATAATCGGCGAAAGGAAGAAGAAGAAACGAAAATGTATGAGCCAGGTGGAAAAGGCACAACATAACCACCTGGAAAGAGAAAGAAGGAAAGGCATGACGATGCTCTTGGAGGGTCTTCGTGAACTGGTCCCAGCAGTGAGTGACGACAAAAAAGCCTCACAAAAGAAAATTGTGGATGAGGCAACGAAGTACCTGAAAAAAGAAAAACCTATTTTTCTTTCGTATCTCAAAGAAAAGCAGAGATATATAACTTTGGAAACAAAGAGGCGGAAACTGGAAGCCGAACTCGCTTCAGGCCCAAAAGGTAAGAAGAAATATTTTCATTTCATATTTTTTAACCTCCACGCCTTCGGACATTTAAATTATCTTAAATAGGTTTTCAAAATTTCTTGTTTTATTTCGTTTCTGAAACATTCCAGTTTTTATCTCATTCGTAATATGAAGGTGTAATTCGTTTACTACAGTTAAATTTTCGACCGGTGTTCCGGAAAGATTTCTTTCATACACGCACACATACATGCACATACATACACACTTATGCTGTAGACATGTCTAGCGTAGTAGCAATCATCTGTCATCTATGGCGATGTTATGACGTCATTTTGGCGCGAAACCTTCTGCCAATCAGAGAAATGAAACTATTTCTTTCTTTCCATACACCAGCCATTTTATTTAACTTTTTTCTTTCTTTTTTTTTTTTAAAAAATTCTTTGTGCTAGTCCCAGTCAGCTTTTCTTTTTTTTTTTCTTTAAACTATTTCTAATTGATGTTGTTGTTTAACTGACTTGTTAATTTTTCTATTTTTAGGTGTTCTTATTGTCTGGGAAGAGAGGCGTGGGATGTCTGTCAAGGACCTTCACAAATTAGTAGTGAAAAGGCCGTCTCGAGAACACATCCGAGATGAGAAAATTGATGAATCTATTCGACTACTCGAATCGTTTCGTCCGAGATCACCCGGAAGTCCTGGCCAGTCTTCTGATGATTCTGATGAGGAACACATCAATGTCGAGGTGTGAGGAAGTTCATTTCGATCTTCTGGCCTCAACACACGCGACCAACAGCAACACGTTTTGTTGCTAACAAGATCGTCTCGGTGGCAATTCTGTTGCTCTCCCAGTGTTTTTTCTTCAGAAATGTCTGAAAGAAGATCCCTTCTGGAACCCTATGGCTGTTGCCCCTGGCTTTCAAGCCGCGAGTCCCAGGAAATCTCCTATTGGACCAAGGAGATTGATTTTTCCAACTATTCGTCTGGAAACATGAAAGTTCCCTATCGTGAATACGTGGACACAGTTACGGAGACCGCTGAAATATTGGGCTGGAGGACTTTCAGAGGAATAATTTCTTCTCTCTCTCATTTTGAAAAGATGCTTTAACGGAAAAAGGATAAATTATTTAACGAATATGTGAACGCCTCTTTTTCTCTTTTTTTTTTTTTTTTTTTTTTTTTTTTTCCTCTCTCTCTGTCTGTCTCTCTCTAGGAATGGAGATTCCAATCCTACAAGTGACATTCGGCGAACATTTTATTACAATTGAAGTGATGAATTTTAGTTTCATTTCTATGCGTTTTTTTTTTCTCTCTACACTTTTATCATTTTCATTTCGATGTTCTGCTTCAATCGAGAAATAATGGACGAAACTTAGAAATGTCCAAAAAAAAAACTCTCCTTGGCTCCCTTTGTCTATCCTTGTGTGTATCTTTGTCTCCCTTGACATTTGTTTCTTTTTCATTTCATCTTTCTTCTTGCTTAAAAAACATTAACTTCAAGCAAGAATTTTCTTCCACTTGAAGCTCATAAACCCGTGACTTTTACACAGATGTGTCTTTATTTCCACGCCCGGATGTTCTATATTCCAGGAACCAATTCTCACCCATCACCCAGGCACTTCCGCTCATTTCTTCGTTCGTGTCTGCAAAAAAAAAAAAAATCTTATGACTTTTGGAAAGACGAAAAAATGATAGAAAATAAAAAAAACCAAGACAAAAAATGGTTTTCTTTCTGCTTTCTTCAGTCTTTCAATCTGCCTTGTCTTTCATTCGAAATCACATTAAAATTTTTTTTAATTCTATTTTTCTATTCGTCTATACAACTTTGCCCCACCCTAAAAGCAGGTGTCAATAAAGATTTTATTTTAAATATAAATCTCGCTTTGTTGTACTTAAATTTAATTTGCCGATCATCATCTGTATCAAACTTAATAGCTTCTCAGATGTGGATGCAAAATAAATATTTCCTCTGAATATTTTTTTTTCCATTGATGGTTTGGTACCTACGTTAGGGAGGGCCGTTTATTTATCTTTATGAAAATTTTCAAACCCCGGCCGCATTTAATGTATATTGGGGGAAAATTCTAACCCCTCCACGAATATAGTAATTCCCTTCCCAATGCAATTTTCTTATAAGATGACAAATACGCTGCAGACATGGTTTACATAATTTTAATTTGAAGGTGATTTTTCTTAATTGCATCCTTTGGATCTTTTTGTTATAAGAAATTGTGTGCAAAAGTTTCCAGCGCTCTTTTTCAAAACGTCAACATTGATTTAACCACGTTCTCCAAAAAAAATTTTTTTTAATAGTTTAAAAAACGGGCCGTCTACTCACATAGGGTAACCACTAAAAATAAAATTGAATTGATTAAAATAATATATAGTAGGTACAATTAATCGGGGGTGGGGGGGCCTTTTGCATTTGGCTATATAGCAGTAATATTTGAAGTTTTTGAACATGTTCGAGTCTTGCTCAAAATAATGTTATTGTTATGCAACAACGTTCATTACCACACTGGAAAATCGAAAGAAATTCAACAAATAAATGACAGAAAAATGTCTTCATCTTATAAGATTCTTATTTATGAAAAAAAGAAAGGTCATTGAAAAATTTAAAAACATGTTTAATCTTTGTCTTCAAATCTAAAATCTACCAAATTTATTTTGTGAATTGTAAAAATGTCCCAACGAATGTTTGTTGCCCGGTTCCGACAAAAAATGTACAAAGTAAGAATAATTACGTCAAATCTCATTTAAAGCATTTATTTTTTTTTTTAATTCTAAATACAATATATGCTGATGCGGTGGGAAAAAAATGTTAATTTGTGACCCTTAAACTACAAACAAAATCATCCAAATTTTCTTTCTTTTTTTTTTTTTTCCTGACTTGTTCCCCTGTGAAACTTATTTGCTTAATTTTTATTTTTTCATTCCAGTAAATGGATTAAAATCTATAATTTTTCACTTATTTGAGAATACTTCTTTCTTTCCTCATCGAAATTTTAAGATATGGATAACTTATTTTTAATGCGAATCAAAAATGCCAACGGGACGAATTTTCAAATATTTTTTACGAGACTGTTACACTTTCAGATCTATGGATGCCTATGAGCATCACAAGCATAACTTAGCATGTTTACCGATGCCTTTAGAAAAACCTTTTTTTTTTTTTTTTTTCTCCCCTCTTCTCCAGTACAACTACTGACTGCTCAGTGCATCCATTTTAGCATAACCTTAAATTTATTGTTTTAAACTTTTGATACAATGGTTTAAAATTAAAAATGTTAACAAGTACGCTAGAAAAGTAATTGTATCTTTTCTAGCATCCATACTAGGAAATAGGGAACCGTTTTAAATACTATTCACGGAGTGTAAATTTCATCATCGTCTCTTAGAAACGAAACTTCCTTCGTTTTTCCTCTGACACAAGGCCATGATGTGAAAAAGGAATTTCATGGCATTTTAACAAAAGAATCCTGCAATTTTATCGACTTGAAGTAAAAATATCAAATTTCGTTGCTGAAAGAAAACATTTTCTTAATATTAAAAAAAATAACATTTGTGAAAAAACCTAAATGACGACGGAATTTGAAAAATACGTTGATAAATTTTTAAAAAAAATCAATTGCCCTCAAAATTATTTTTTTTTTTTTATTTTTTTTTTTTTATTTTTCCGGTTGAATTTGACACAAAAAAATGCAATTGCAATCTTTGTTATACTAGAGAACTTCTCGTTTGTAATTTACGTTTAAAATTTACTTTCATGTTATTGATACGATAAAAAAGGTCATCTTCAAGATTTCTAAAATCTAAATCTGCCCAAGGGTCAATGACTTTTAAATTATCTTAAATAAAATTCATTTAATTTGTTAATATTTTTAACTAGTTTATTAAAATATTATTAGTATTGAACGTATATTATTAGTAACTTATTGTCAATATTAATTCATTAAAAATTATATTACTTCATTATTTAAAACAATTTTAAGATAATGAAATTAAATGTTCCTAATTTTATTACAATAAATTTAAAAAAAAAATATTGACTGCTTCTCAATTAACAAAAGAAAATATTCCCAAAGTTTCTTTTTCAATGAATTGCTATATTCTCTGAGCGATTATCCAGAAATCCTTAAATTTAAAAGGAAAACGTGGAGGTGTATCACTGCAACTCAGCTTTTTCTCAGAAACTTTCAATGCTTGCTTGTCTAAAACTTCCACGTGAAAAATTATTTTGACCTTATTTAAAACTAGCCTTTTTTAAATGACGCAATCCTATAAATTACTTTTATTTTCTATTTTATACACACGCATATAATTTTTGAATGTTTTTTGTTTTATCCAAAATTAGTTTTTTAGTACTCTAAACATTATTTTTAATTGGTAGACATATTTTGAGTTGCTAATCCTTTTTTTTTTTTTTTTTAAAACAATGAAATTAATAACTGGCCGACACTGAGAAAACCGACTAAAAGAAAGGTTCTGCCTTTAACAGAAATTGAACCTGTATTTCACGTTTCTATTTTATAGAAAATACAGGTTCAATACTTGTCAAAGGCACAATTTTTCTTTTTAGTTGGTCTTCTAAATGTCGGTCAGTTAAGATAAAACAAAGTTCTTTGTTAAAGATTTTATTTTTTATTTCTGGCCATTTTCCTGGATTCCAGTATATATTTAAAACAGGAAAACAGTCCAAATTTCAGAAAAATAAATTTACAAAAATCCTTAAAGAACTTTCATTGATCTTTAATCAAACTTGTATAAATGAAAGACTTCTGCCCAAATACAATCCTAAGGTATTCTATATTTATGGGTTGAAGTGCTGAATATCAGACATAGTGTATGTAAATATAAAATTGAACATTGAAGTCAACACTCAAGAAGCAACAGACTGTTTCATGCTAAATGCAATCATCAAGCCTGAGATATATATATATATATACACACACATACCAATTGTGACTGGTGTGGATCATATTAATCCAAAGAGAGATCAATGTAAACTACAGAACATTATAATAGTAATAATAATATATATATATATATATATATATACCTATTTATTATGAATTCTCAGTCTAAAAGATGAATATAAAAAGATTAACAAAATAAATTATAACCAAAATGAATCTTTAAGACTTTTTCTTGAGTTATTATATATAATGCTAATTCCTGTTACCGATTGAACCCATTCATGGTTTATGCTGTGCAGACTGAAGTTACAGTTTCTTTATGAAAAAAAGTGCATAATCTGTTTGTCCAAACCATTTGTTATGATGCCTTGTAACATCATACTTGCACAATCACTGATAGCTTTTCAACAACAAAGTTTTTCTCATCTGACTTTGGTCGACCCATGGTACAGTTTTCAAGACATTGCTGGGAACATCATGATTGGTATTATCTCTTTCTTGACAGCCAGAGTAGGAATCTCATGGTCTTAATGCTGATTCTCTAACAAATTGGCCTTGTGCCCTTACACTGATAATCCAAGACATCATGATCTTCTGCCTAATAAGATATTCTTTTATGTGTCCTCCAAAACAGCTCTTATCCAATAAGGCATAATCTCGATAAGACTAACCAAAGAGTTCCCCTCAGTGCCAATATGCTAGCAACTACTCTTTTAACTGATGTAAGTCACATGAAGTGTGAATCTGTGGGTTCAACAAATCCTCATAAGTGCTCAATGAGTTTTGATGTTAGACCAACACAGTGAAGTCTCTTGTGTTTCTGAAACCA